TCTTCTCTCATTAAATGTGAGCACCATAAGGGCGGCGATTTCCCCAGCTCTCACTGAAAGTTGCCAGCGCACAGTGGCCTTGGGAGGCGTCTGCAGCGCACCTCGTGGTGTGCCCGGCTCCTGGGCCCTGCCCCAGCACCTTGCCGAGCCTGCCTTGTCACACCCTGTCTGCCTCCGGCGCTCTGTCCCCCTGGGCCTGTTGCTTGGCTGGTTTTTGTTTTGTTTGAATGAGGACAGGGTTTTCTGTCTCCGCTCCTGGCACTTGGGACATGAGGCTGCGTGCTGTGGAATTCCCGGTAGAGACTGCATTTAAAGTCACTTGTTCTGTGCTCAACTTTTATATTCTAACCTTTGGGGACTCTCTAACCCCGGGTGGCAGGACGGCCCTGGACCTGCCGAGTGCACACGTGTGCCATCCGCTCGTTCGCTCAGGGGTTATTTACCGAACGTGTCGTGGGCCTGCAGGCCGCTGTGGAGCGCGAGGGCCGGCGCCTGGTTGAAGCGGGTTTCGGGCGGTGGGGGCTGCAGGGTCAGAGGCTGGTCCAGCCTCCTGGTGCTGCTCCCGTGAAGGGGGAAGATGACAGCCAGTGCTGATGGACGCGGAGCCCAGGGACGTGGTGTCGTGGTGGTTTTTTGCTTTTAACTGGGGAGGTGTTACTTTTGAGTGAATACGAGCTACCCCTGCTCCCCAAGGAAGAGGGAGATGGCAGGTGTTGGTCCTTGAGTGGGTGGGCGCGGGGTCCAAGCGGCAGGGCAGAGCTTTCCGCTGGACACTTACTGCTGGCAGGAATATGCACAGCAGGTGCTTAAAAAGCGTTTAGCTTAGGAGTGACCACACACATTACATGGTAACGAAAAATAATTAAGACTTTATTTCTGTGCCAAAACTAAAATTTGGACTCGAAGGGGTATTATTTTAAATAGAAGTGAATTTTGCAAATCTCTTCTTTCATGATGGAAAAGTTCAGTGTGTTGGGGTAGAACTCCGGCCCCAACTGGGAGGGGGCATCGGTCGGTGCTTTCCCTGTGATCCTCTCTGACAGCCCTACGTGGGGTGGAAGAAACAGTGATTCTAAGAAATATGAGGCTGGGCGCGGTGGCTCACACCTGTAATCCTAGCACTCTGCAAGGCCGAGGCAGGTGGATTGTTTGAGCTCAGGAGTTCGAGACCAGCCTGAGCAAGAGCGAGACCCTATCTCTACTGAAAATAGAAAGAAATTAGATGGACTACTAAAAATATATAGAAAAAATTAGCCGGGCGTGGTGGTGCATGCCTGTAGTCCCAGCTACTCAGGAGGCTGAGGCAGGAGGATCACTTGAGCCCAGGAGTTTGAGGTTGCTTTGAGCTACATTGATGCCACGCACTCTACTGAGGGCAGTAGAGTGAGACTCTGTCTCAAAAAAAAAAAAAAAGAAATACGAAGTTATGTTTTCAAACTGTGTTTAAAATAGGCTAATATTTATAAAAGCAGCTTTTGTTTTAAGAGAAGTTAAAATCCAGAGAGCTACTTGTCTTTTTATCCCCAAGCTATTTCGTGTGTGTGGTAAAAAGAAATTGTTTTTTAAAATAACTATTAGGATCTAAAAGTATAAATAAATTAAAACTAAATCTTCCCTGCCTCCCTCCCCCCCGAGATCCGTTCTTGAAAATTCTTCCAGCATTTTTGTACACAGACCTCCTTACAGTTCTACACGGTGGGTGGTGCCTCACCTCCCTCTGCCTCCAGGTGTCGGGGGTCCCCGCGGCTCGCAGCACGCGACAGCCTTTCTGGTCTGGCGGGCCCCGCGCCTGCCTGGCGGAGCAGAGTCTCGCTGGGCAGCCAGCACCGCGTGCTCACGGGCCGCACCTGGGAGGGCTCCTAGCAGTGGCGTCGTTGGGTCTTCACGCAGGCATTTAAAGTTATTTTTTGCTGTCGAACTCAGCATGTTCATCTTACACATTTAAGTAAATCATATTAAAAATAGGACCCGTTATATATCAAGATTAATTTCATTTCTATATTCCCAAGTTTTTCAATCAGGATAAAACACATATTTTCAAGTGACCATTCAAACATTTTATCCATCATAACACAACAAAAATAAATTTTAGGATTAGCTCTGAATTTTAGAAATACATTAAAAAGTACATGGTTATCGATGGCTGCAGTCTCATCGCTGAAATGATGCGGTTTACTGTAGCGCCTAGAGTTCCCGTCACTTGTGAACCTTTCACTTTGCTAACGGTGGTGTCTCGAAGGCCTGGAAGTCTTTCCTCCTCTGAGCGAACTCGGGCTCAGCTGAGAGGGCGTGGGGGTCGCGGCAGCAGCAGACTCGCCTTGCTCCTCCGGCAGCCAGCCCCAGAGAACTAATGCGGTTTTGTCTCCCTTCTCTGTCTCTAGGTTAAATTGAAATTTTTTCTAAT